GACGTTACTGGCGTGGTGGAAGTATACGACACAGTTGGAACGTTTGATCGTGCGAAGTTTGTCGACTTTTGCGGACGACACATCGACAACGTAAGTCCCTACCCTGGACGTGGCTCCATTTGGATCCTGGACGGAGCAAGCATTCATTGCCATCCGGCCATCGTGTACTACCTGCGCAGTCGAGGAATTGTTCCGATTTTTCTCCCTGCATACTGCGCATTTTTCAATCCAATTGAGTACGTATTTGGCCTGATAAAAAGGTATTCAAGCGGCATTACCAAGTGGCAAAGACAAAGGATTTGATGTTGTTAATTATGAGCATCATTCAATAGTTCAAATCTTACGACATGTCACGCATTTTTGTCCATTGCGGCTACTCCACACAAGGGCGATTCGATCCGTCCAAGCGACTTGCAGACGACGGATGCACTACTGATGAAATCCACGACGACATGCTTGAATATATGCCATGCAACGACGATAACAATTAAGACTCAATGCGAGCATTATTCATTGGCTTCGTCTTTATGCTCCTCATCCTCAATGTTTGGAATAGTTCGAAGCAATTCAACCAGGTCCGGTCGAGCAGCAATTGGGGTGACTTCTTGCAAAATACCTTCAATAACGCGGCGCTTCGCACGCAATGATGCTTCGTCTGCCTCAATACGCAGCACAACATCACTAACAAACCTCTTCAGTGTAGCACAACTCTCCAAGCACGAGTCGACAATGTCGCGAGCAACAATCATGCTCCGCTGAACAGTCTCATTGCGCTGTTGGGCGCCATTCGGAACGGGCGAGAACAGATGCAACATAATTGCTGGAGGAGGGTTGGCAACGTGAACATCGTGCTGAAATAATGAGAGCTTGAGAATTGTTGCGGCCCACATCCGCCAGTTTGCCTCATACGATGTGTATGTCGCCCCCCATTTGTCCTTCAGCCGACGGACCATCTCGCTGTGTGCACTCTCTGCAGCAGCTCCAGCACGGTCATGCACTTGTGGATGAATACATTGCTGATTGAACGACGCCAGATCGTTTGACGAGCAAACGAGGTTGCCCCACTTGAGTACTGAGATTGTGAAAGTGTCCGATTGGTGGTCTGTGATGTATCGATGGGCCTGGCTTTGGTTCGCCGGTTTGAAGAAGTATCTCCCCATCTTGATGGAGACGAAGCAGTCGAAATCAACAACCGTTGGCTTCTCTTGTTGAACAGTCCACACCCCTGCATCACCTTCGTAGCACGCCTTGTACTTCATGTATGGGAGGCAGTGCGAGAATATGGTCTCCTTAAGAGTGTTCCAGTTTGGTCCTTCGAAGACATGCTGTGCGAGGCGTCTGCCGTTGCTGTCTCGTCCAATAACGGTGTTCTTGACATTGATGTCCTCACGAATGCGCAGCAAGTTGTCGTTGGTCGAAGGTGGGGAAGGCACAGGAGTCACGGGCGAGGACCGCGTTGAGTACCGATGTTGACGTGGAGGTGACGGCGTCGGCATCACACCCCTTGCGTCTCTCGTTTGCTCGTGCTGACAAGCCGGAATGGCTTGTA